ACCACATCCTCAGGAAAAACTCGGGGAAGTGGGAGGCCATTGCCAAGCACCAGGTGAAGCACGCCTTCAGCCCCACTGAGGAGGAGCTGAAGCTGCAGGCACGAAGGTGAGGCCCTGGTTATGTGCACGTGGGGTGCCAGTATCCCCATTAGCAGGGGCTGGAGCTCAGCACTGGGAGGACAGAGGGGTCTGTGGTGCCAGGGTGCAGGGGGGACAGCTTGCTGCAGGTCAGCAGTTCCCCATGAGCAGCCTCACCCCTCTCTGTCTACACAGGTGGGCACAGACCTACAGCCTGGACATGATGGAGGCTCTGGCCCCTGACAAGCCCCGCTGCAGGGTGTGTGGTGTAGAAGCAGCCAAGAGGTGCTCTCGCTGCCGGAATGAGTGGTACTGCACACGGTAAGGGAGCCCTGCCACCCTCTGTGTCCCCTCAGACCCCTGCTTCCCCCCCTACAGCCCTTCAGTGCTCCCCAGAGACCTCACCAGAGGATACTGAGGAAGGGTCACGGCAAGCCAGGGGTCCCACCCCTGCTCAGCACCTCTGGCTCTCCTCTGGCCACATACCTCTCCAAATCTTGTGGGAGGCTGATGTGCTGGGCTGCTGGTGCAGGAGGTGCTGGTGAGTGTTGTGTTGCAGCTGCGAGGTGCTGAGCTGCCTCTGCCCACAGTGGCAGCAGTGACGGGCTGGGTTTTCCGTGGTGTCACTGCCTCTTTCCTCTGCATCTTGGTGTGGCAGGGGTGGGGAGGAAAGCACCCATGACCCCGTGGGTGCAGGTGACAGGCTGGGATGTGGCAGCTGGGATGGTGCAGTAAGTTAAATCTTCTCTGGTCCTGAACCATCTGGCAAGGTCTGGCGCTCTAAACCGTCTTAGCCCCCGGAACTGGGGGTCACATCCATCTCCCTCTTGGGCTAATGCTGGGCCATGCCAGCTCCCCTCCAGTGCCCAGGGGACTGTGGTGCTGGAGTTTGTCCTTGTTACTCCTTCCCTCCCAGCACATGGCTCCACTGCCCCTGACAGAAGCTTTACCCTCCACAGGGCCTGCCAGGTCCAGCACTGGCAGAAGCACAAGCCTGCCTGCAACCTGATGGCTGAGGTGCCAAGGAGTGTTGTGGATGACCTGTAAGAGGAGGGGTGTCTGGCATCAGGCTCACAGCTCAGCGAGGCTGAGGTTCCCTGGTGTGCAGCCCAGCAGCTGGAGAGAAGCTGGCAAAGGCCCCTTCTGCCTGCTCCCAGCCCCAGGCAGCACTAGCCGGGCTTGACCTCTCCTCTCCCACTACCCTACCATGCTGCCTTCTTCAATAAACCTCCTTGTGCAACCCACAGCTGCTTGATTCCTGCTTTTTCTTCTCCTAGCTGAAGATGCTAAACTCTGTCCTCACCTTCCTTGCACCCAGGGAGAGGCATGCGTGTCTGTTTTCCCCTCTGCAACAACAGAAATCCCAGAGAACCTGAAAAAGCCTGTAAGGATGTGGGTTAGCAGAAGGACCAAGCTCTCTGCAGCCAGGGAGGGAAAGGGGTGAGAAGGCCTCCCACCGCCTCTTACTGTCGTTAGAGCAGCGTGGGGAGCAGAGGATGTGGTTTGCTCGCGCACCTCACTGTGAGTTTCTCGGGTGTTCCTCATCTGCCACCTCACAGGGACGATTGCCCCCCTTTCCTCTCTGTTGATGTGGTGTTGGCACCGAGGGCTTTGGCCCCCTGCCCACCAACATCACCAGTAAACAGGGTTTACTGGCGGGTCTGTACCTGGGGTGGATCCTCACCTCTCGTTGCCAAAGGGAAAGGTTGGTGAGGCCATGTCCTTTTGCTGATGGGGTACCTGAGACTCCCCGACACCCCAAAATAGGCTTTGCAGCAGCGCTGCTGCTGCAGGACCCATGACAGCAGGCAGGAAACTGCCTCGGTCCAGCTGCAGCCCAGACTGAGCAGCCCAAGCTCGGAGCATGGAGTAAACTCACACCAAACTCAGGCTGCACGTCCAGGGCTGCAGCCAGCTCGGGCGAGTCCAAGGCTCTCTTGCTGCTTCTCACCCTCCGCCAGCGGTACCTTCAGCCCCTTCCCCGCTGGGAACTGAGGCAGAAAGCGCAGCTTGTCTCGGTCCTGGGAGAGGTGGCGGAGAGAGCGGGGCTGCTGGAGCGGGCCCCCCCCCTCGGCGGCGGCTCCGGGAGCCTCATCCCCGCCTCCAGCCCGCCCCGCTGGCCTCGCCGGGACCGGAGTTGGCCATCGGGACCCCGGGGCTCTTCGCCGTCTCCCCTTCTCCTGCCTCAGTTTCCCTCGCGGTACCCGGACAGGGCGGCTCCTCCCGGTCCCCGCCCCGGCCCCGACCCCGGTGGCGGCCCCCGCCCCGCCACTGCTCAGCGCCCGCGGCCGCCGGAGCATGGAACTCATCGAGCTGCGGGAGCTGCAGCCGGAGCCGCGGCCGGGCCGGGGCCGCCTAGAACGGACCAACGCGCTGCGCATCAGCCCAGCCCGCCGGCCCGGCCCCGGAGCGCATCCCGACCCGCGGCTGACGGCGGCCCCGGGCGGCGGACACCGCTTCGAGCCGCGGCGCCGCGGGCTGCACACCTGGTGCGATCTCTGCGGGGACTTCGTCTGGGGCGGCGGCAGGAAGAGCCTCCAGTGCCGCCGTGAGTACCGCGCCATGCCCCGGGCCCCCCGCACCCCTGCCAGCGACCATCCCACCCCCGAGCACCGGGCATCCCGGCACCTGGCACCCCCGCCATCGGGCATCCCGGCACCTGGCATCCCTGCCAGGCACCGGGCATCCCGCCACTCTGCTTCCTCGGCACTGGGGGACCCCACCGAGCACCGAATAGCCCGCCTCTGGGCACCCCCAGCACCGGGCACCCCTTTCACCGGGCATCCCACCATCAGACCCCCCTACAGGGCACTGGGCATCCTGGTAGTCGGCACCCCCTCCTGAGCACCACGTGTCCCACCACTGGCCACGGGTTTCCTGGCACTGGGAATCCACCACCAGGCACCCTCACCACCAGGCACTCCCTGTGGCCACAAGGCATCCTGCCATAGGGTACCCCACCAGTCACTGGACACCCCCAGGAGGCACCGAGCATCCTGGTAGTGGGCACCCTCACTGAACACCAGGTGCCCCATCACTAGGCACAGGTATCCTGGCAGCAAGCACCAACACTGGGCACTGAACATCCTAGCACTGGGCACCTGCACAGGCACCTCGATACAAATTACTCCCACCGGGCATCCTGATGCCAGGCACTCCCACTGAGATGGGCATCACAATACTGGGCACCTGCACCAGGCACTGGGCAACCCCATTCAGAATGCCCTCACCAGGCACCCCACATCCCTGTACTGGGCACCTGGTAATCCAGCACTGGGCATCCTCACTGGCCACTGGGCATCCTAATACTGAGCACCCACACTGGGCATCCTAGTACTGGGTGTCCCAGTACCAGGCACTAAGCATCCCATGCTGGCTGGCTCAGTAGGGAGCACAGGCACCGCAGGACCAGTCAGCACATGGCACAGCACCATGTCCCACATGGGTGCTACCGCTGGGTCCCTGGGCACTGCAGGGGCAGGCAGCCGGTACCAGTACTGGCACTGTGTGCCAGCCCTTGTCCCACCATGCACCAGTGCCCTGACCCTGACACCCAGGCTACCCATGGTGGTGACACTGGTCCTGTCCCTGTTGCCAGACTGCAGCTTCACCTGCCATTACCGGTGCCGAGCCCTCGTGCGGCTGGACTGCAGTGGCCCCCCAGGCACCAGCGATGAGGACGATGGCAACGAGCTGGAGAAGGACACCAATGTGGTAAGGCCTGGGCCTGTCTATGAGGGAGAGGGTGGGCAGGGGGTGGCCAACCTTGGGGGCTGCCCAGGGTTGTGGAGGAGCTATGCCAGGCTGTTCCATGTGAGGCCATGTCACAGCTGTGCTGAGCCTTGCAGGATTTTGGTGTGCCATGCCGGGCTGAGCCATGCCAGGCTGTGACAAGCCTTGCTGGACTGGGCTGGGCTTTGCTGGGCTGTGTGAGTCTGTGTCATGCCGGGCTGTGCCAAGCCTTTCAGGGCTGTGCTGGGCTGTGTGAAGCCGTGCCGAGCCGAGCTGTGCCATGCCGGGTGTGCTGTGCCCGCGCCGTGCCCGTGCCGCGCTGCCCGCTCTGCACCGGGACGATCCGAGCAATCCGAGCCGGGGCACAGCCGTGTCCGGGCGGGCGCGGGTGAAGTCACCGCCGGAAGCGGGGCCGCCGCGCCGCCCCCGGCCCGCGTCAGCCCCAGGGCCGGGGCGGGGCAGGGCTGGGACCGCGCCGAGCCAGGAGCGGGGCAGGACGCGAGAGACGGCGCGCTGAGCCGAGCCGGGACCGCGATAGGGACCGGGCTGAGCCGAGCCGGGACCGCGATAGGGATCGGGCGGAGCTGAGCCAGAACAGGAGAGCTATAGAGACTGAGCTGAGCCGAGCCAGGACTGAGACTGGGGTCGGGCGGAGTTGAGGCGGGACCGAGACCCGGGAGCGGGCTGAGCCGAGCCGCGATAGGGACCGGGAGCGGACCGAGCCGAGCCGAGCCAAGGGCCAGGCTGAGCGGAGCCGGGCCCAGGAGCGGGAGCGGGCTGAGCCGAGCCGGGAGCGGGGCGAGCCGGGCCCCAGCCCGGGGGCCGGCCGGGCTGGCGCGGGGCCGGGTGTGCCCGTGTGCCCGCCGGCCCGGCGGGGCTGCGGGCCGGCCGGCCCGGGCCGTGCCCTCCGCCAGCGCCGCCGGGACCGGGGCCGGGGCCGGGACCGGGACCGGGACCGGGACCGGGACCGGGACCGGGGCGGGGGCGGCGGGGCCGGGGGCTGCGGGGCTTCGGCGTTGGCCCTGCGGCGGGGCGGCGCGGGGGGCACGGGGGGCAGCACGGCCAGCAGCGGCTACTGCAGCCAGGAGGACTCCGACTCCGAGCCCGAGCTCTTCTACACCGCCCGCACCTCCCTCGGTCGCCGCCCGCGCCGCCGCCAGGTCGGTCCGGGGTCGTGACGTCATGGGGGAACACGGGTGACATCATCGAGGAGCACCCGCCCGGGGCTGGGTGCTGGGGAGCAGGAGAGAGTGGGCTTGGTGCGTGGGGAACACACGGGATGTGGGTGGTCCTGTCTGGGAAGTGAGCGTGGGTCTGCTATGGGGTGTGCACGGGCGTGAGCATCACCCTGCTGGAGGGTGAACGTGGCCCTGCCCTGGGGCAAGAGTGGCCACAAGTGTGGCCATGCCATGGGACACGGTGGCCCTGTCCAGGTGGATGTGGGGTGAGCGAGACACCATGGGGTCAGTGGGGTTTTGCTGTCTGGCACAGCCACCCCAAGGTCCTCCAGTCTGGAGTTGCTCCCAGAGAGGGCAAAGGACAGCATTTGGGGGTGCCAAGGTGAGCCCCCCGGGTAGCCTCACAGCTGTCCGCATCCTGCAGGGACCCCCGCAGGGTCCGGCAGTGCCTGCATGCTGTGGGGTGGCTGTCAGGGCTGGGAGCCCCTTAGTGCCGTGGGGACTCGTGCAACACTGTGTGGCAGCTTCGCAGCCCCACGTAAATACTCATTAGTGGGTGTGGGTGGCAGGGACGCCGAGCCGGGACGCCTGGGTCCCCCTTGTGTGGGGCCAGCACTTTGAAGTGGGGTGCCGGCGGCGTGGGCGGGCTGCACCCCGGGTCCGGCCCTCCTGCCTCGAATCCCAGGGCGTCCCCACGGGCTCCCAGCCTGCCCAGACGCCCTGGTGCCGGGCTGGCGGCTGCCGGCGCTCTGCCTTGGGGACGCCTCTCTGATCTGGGGTGCCGGGAAGGGACGCTCAGCCCCGGGTGTGCTCGCAGCCGAGTTCACCCACCCCTGCAGTCCCAGGGAAGAGGGCTGGAGGGACGGCCGGTGACGGTGTTCCCGGAGCAGGGCTGGGACCGCGGTGAGCTCAGCTGTACTTCCCCGGCAACAGCCCAGCTCAGCGCCAGCCGGGCTGATGCAACCCCGCGCAACCGCCCGCGCGTGTTTCAGTCCGTGCTGCGGGATGGGCCGGGGGCCGGCGGGATAACCGGGGTAGGCGGAGAGCTCACCCCCGCCCGCAGTGCCGCTCAGCCCGGCTGCTGTCACACAGGATGAGCCCAGCGAGTGGGAGAAGACAGAGCTGGACCAGACGCAGGTGGAGCAGCGGATCAAGGAGTACAACAGCCAGATCAACAGCAACCTCTTCATGAGCCTGGTACGGGGCCGGCGCGGGGCCGGGCGGGGAAGGCGTGGTGCCTTTGCTCTGTCCCCGCTCACCCCCCCACTGGTGTCTCGCAGAACAAGGACGGCTCCTACACCGGCTTCATCAAGGTGCAGCTGAAGCTGGTGCGGCCCGTCTCGGTGCCGGCCACCAAGAAGGGCCCCGCCCTGCAGGCGGGGCGGCCGCACACCCAGGGCGTGAAGCGCCGCACGTCCTTCTACCTGCCCAAGGGCACCGTGAAGCACCTGCACATCCTGTCGCACACCCGCGCCAGCGAGGTCATCGACGCCCTCCTCCGCAAGTTCACCGTCGTCGACAACCCCCGCAAGTTCGCCCTCTTCGAGAGGTCTGAGAAGGATGAGCAAGGTAGTGCCCTTGACAAGCAAGGTGGCCCTGTCCCCACAGCGGTGGCTGTGTCCCCATAGTGGCAGTTTCCTCTGTGGTGACAGTGTCCCCAGAATGATGGTGTCTCTCGTGGTGGCAGCATCCTCATGGCAGTGGTGTTCCCATAGCGGTGGTGTTCTCCATGGTTCTCTATCGTGGCAGCAGTGTCATCCTGACAGTGGTGTCCCCATAGTGGCAGCTTTGCCTGGGTAGCAGCATCTCTGTGCTGGCAGCATCCCTGTAGCAGTAGTATCCCCGCTTTGGTGGCAGTGTCCTGTGTCACCATGGGCATGTCCCCCCATGGCAGCAGAGTCCCCCATGATCAGTAGTTTACTTGGTGGTGGTGGTGTCCCTGTGGTGGAAGCATCCTCATGGTGGCAGCATCCCTGCAGCAATGGTATCCCCCTTTGGTGGCAGTGTCCCTTGTCACCATGGGTGCGTCCCCCGTGGCAGCAGAGTCTGCCGTGGAAGTGGTGTTCCCAGTGGTAGTGGTGTCCCCTGTGAGGGTTATGTCCCCACGGTGGCAGTGTCCCCCTGGCGTTGTCCCCGCTGTGACCCGTGGCCACCCTTGCAGTGTACCTGCGGAAGCTGGGCGACGACGAGCAGCCCCTGCGGCTGCGGCTGCTGGCTGGCCCCAGTGAGAAGGTGCTGAGCTTCGTCCTGAAGGAGAACGAGACCGGAGAGGTGAACGTGAGTGCGGGGGGACAGGGAGGGGGGCTGGCACCCTCACCCCTGGGGAGAGGCGGCCGCGGGGGGACGCGGCAGGTCCCCGTCGCGATGGGAGCCCCTGTGCCCGCAGTGGGACGCCTTCACGCTGCCGGAGCTGCACAACTTCCTGCGCATCCTGCAGCGGGAGGAGGAGGAGCACGTGCGGCGGCTGCGGCACCGCTACGCCCGCTGCCGCCAGAAGATGCAGGAGGCGCTGGCCACGCGCACGCCGGGGTGACCGCGACACCCGCGACCGAGGACAGCCAGCACCGGGACTCTCGTCCGCCGGCGGGTGGGGGCACCGGGGAGGGGGGTGGAACGGGGCACCGCGGAACCAGCGGGCTGTCACAGCCCCCATGGGGCCGGCCCAGAGAGTGGGAGTGCCTGGAAGGAGCGAGTGTCACCCGGGAGTGGGTGAACGCAGGGGAACGAGTGTCCTGAGGGAGAGAGTGTCACCTGGGGGATTGGATGTCCCCAGGGGAGTGGGTGTTCTGAGGGGAGCAAGTGTCACCCGGGAGTGTGTGTCTCCAGGGGACTGGGTGTCCTGAGGGGAGCGAGCGTCCCCTGGGAGTGCGTGTCCCCAGAGGAGTGGGTGTTCTGGAGGGAGAAAGTGTCTCCCGGGGAGTGTGTGTCCCCAGAGGAGTGGGTGTTCTGGAGGGAGAAAGTTTCCCGCGGGGAGTGTGTGTCCCCAAAGAGTGGATGTCCTGAAGGGAGCGAGTGTCACCTGGGAGTGTGTGTCCCCAAAGGAGTGTGTGTTCTGGAGGGAGAAAGTGCCCCCCGGGGAATGGGTATCCCCAGGGGAGTGGGTGTCTTTGGGGAACGAATGTCCCTGGATATGAGTGATTGTCCCTGTGGGGAAGCAGGGCATCGAGCACCAATAAAGACATCTTGGTGACGAGGCCTGGCCTGCGGTGTGTCTTTGGCTGGGCGGGAAGGGACGGGACGCGGATCCCCCGCGCTGCCAGCGGGCCGTGGGTCCCCGCACGTGTTTCGGGAGCAGAGCGGCAGCGCCGGGACTCGAACCCGTGAGCTTCGGGGCGGGGAGGAGGGCGCGCCCGCGCCGCCGTCACGTGTGGCGGGCGGCGGAAGTGGCGCAGCGGCGGCGCGGGCGGCGCTCGGTCGGTGTCGCCGGGCGGCTCCGGGCCGGCCCCGTCCCTTCCCCCCCGGCCCCGCTCCCGCCGCCGCCGCCCCCGCCATGGGCGCCAGCGGCTCCAAGTCGCGGGCTGTGGCTCCTTCGCCTCGCCGGCGGCGGGCGGCGGCGGCCCGGAGGCCCCGGCGGGCGAGCAGGCCCTGGCCCGGGCGCGGGCCGCGCGCGCCGCCACCCCCTTCGTGTTCACACGGCGCGGGTGAGAGCGGGGAGAGCGGGGCGGGGGACGCGGGGAGGCTGCCGAGGGGCGGGGGGCTCTGCTGCTGGGCCGGGACGGCAGCGGGCGGTCGGTGCAGCCCCCCAGGGCCGGGGAGGCCCGGCCTGCCCAGCCCCCGGCCTGCCCAGCCCCCGGCCCGGCTCTCAACCACCCGCCTCCCTCCCCTCTCCTCCCGGCAGCTCCATGTACTACGATGAGGACGGGGATCTTGCTCACGAGTTCTACGAGGAGACAATCGTCACCAAGAACGGGAGGAAGCGCGCCAAGCTGAAGAGGATCCACAAGAACCTGATACCTCAGGTGGGGTGTGGGGGAAGGTGGGGGGCAGCGAGGCTGAAGCGCCACGGTGACAGCTGAAGTCCCGGCTTTGCAGGAGGCTTTTCCCTCGGGGCATCTTGGGAAGGTGGAGGCTTTTTCCTCCCCCCAGTTTCTGCCTCAGAGCCATGACTCCTGTGTGTCCTGGCTCACATTCATGTCACCTGGTGAGGCTGTGACAGAAGAGGGAGGGTTGATAGCACCCTCCAGCTGCCCTTTTCGGAGAGAAGCGGTGCCTGAGCCTTTTAGAGCTCAGCCTGGTGTGTGCTGTGGGGCACAGTGTGCCAGGCAGCCCTTCATGGTCATGCTGTCTCGTTGCCAAGCACCTTCCATGGGCTGTGGGGAGCTGTGCTGGCTCAGCCCATGTCATGTCAGTGCAGAGGGCCAGGCCCTGCCTTGGGGAGCAGCAGCCAAAGCCCATCACGCAGTGACATGAGTGGGCACATCCCCTCCAGCTGCTCAGTAGTGATGCCAGCTTCATGTTTTGCACCTCAGTGCAAAAGTCTCCTCTTAAAATAAGCAACTGGTGTGACGCTGGGCAGGGGCTGGGACACCAACAGAGGGTCTTGGTTCAGGGGCAGGATAGCCTGTGTGCAGGGAAGCTTTCGGGGGCATAAATGGAGAAAAAGGTGGATCAAACCAGGGCTGGAGAGAGACATTCTGTAGGAGTCTTTCCTAAGTAAGCAGAAAGGCATGGCTCTAGCAAGCCTTGGGACGAGCTGTTGGTGTACTCTTTGGGGAGGGCAGCCCCCCAACAGGGTGGGACCCCTCAGCACTACACTGGCAGTTATGGAGGGAAGGATTTGATGCTGCTTCCTGGACTGACGTTGTTGCAGAGGCAGTCTCGGGCTGTGGGACTGACTTCTCGTTGATCTGGGTTGAAACTCGTGCAGTTGCAAAGCTTGTCTGAACCAAGGAGAGCAGGTACCAGCACTGAAGAGCCCTTTGCTAGCCCGGGCTTTGCTCTCGCTCTGTGGCTGCAGGTCCAGCCCTGAGCTCCTTCCCCGCCTTCTGCCCCCAGCCCCCCACCTGCCAGTGGCTCCTCCTGGTGCCGTAACAGGAGAAGGCTTGGACGGGCCATGGGAACGGTGCCTGTGGCTGGTGTGGAGGGAGCGTTCATTCAGCAGCCTCCCCTCCCCTCTGCACAGAAAGCTGCTTTTCTTGTGTGCCAGCTGCCCCGGCTGCGTTCCCTCAGAGAGCTCTTTTCATTCCTTTAAGTCCCGTGAATGGAAGGTGCCGGATGAAAAGCCCGGACGGCCGATATCTGCCAGTCACGCACCAGCTGCTGCACGGGCAGTGCCTGGCAGAGCAGCTCCCTCCTTGCTCGCCCTGCCATGTGTGGCAGCCAGCCATGCTGCCCTGGGCTCTCCAGGGACGAGTTCGAAGGGCAGAGTGCCTGTGCTCTGCCTGGTGCTCTTCAGGCCCTACCACGTGTCACAGCTGCTTTTTGGACCCTGGTCCCTGCGGTTCCTGGAGGGCGCAACGTCCTCTGTCCTGGGGTGACTGGCAGGGCTCAGGCGTGTCGTTTTTCAGTCCCTTTCTGATCACCACTCTGACTCTTTTTTCAGGGCATAGTGAAACTAGAGCACCCTCGCATTCACGTGGATTTCCCGGTGATCATCTGCGAGGTGTGAGTCCCAGACATCTCTGCCTGCGGGCGGGAGGCCCTGCCCCACCACCCCCAGCCTCGCCGGGCCAGGCTGCGCCGTGTTCCCACCCGAGGAGGACTCCGGGCGCACGGCAGGACGGTGGCTCTCCCCTCGCCCGGAGGTGAGGCAGGACGGAGCAGGCCCTCGCAGGAGATGGGTGACCTTGTGCAACAACTGCTTAAAAACATCCTCGCTTGAGTCAGAAGACTAAAATACCTTTTGTAGCCTGTAGCCCACGTGTGATGGGTAACTGGAACTGCAAACGAGCTGCTGTGTGTGAGCTGTTAAAGGGAGAGCGAGCCCACACTTCTCACCGTAGAGAACCCCCTGCTTCTCAGGTATGCGGCCCAGGGAGGGCCAGGGCACAGTGACCCGCTGCCCGAGGCCTCTGGGGCCCGCAGGTTAGATGGCCAGTGTTGCAGTGTGTCCCTTGACGTGGGTGTGAGGTGATGCTCCCCTGGATGGGTCCGTTGATGGAGGATGAACAGGGCAGGCTGAGGGGTCTTGAAGCACATCTGGCTGGCTGTTGCATTCCTCTTGGGAAGGGGATGGAGATCAGATGCCTCTCTCCTGGACCTCAGTCTCTTCCCCCTGTGCGTTTCCCCGCTTATGCTGGCTCTGGGAAGGTTGGCTTTGCTGCTGCCTGCTGGAGATCTCTGCAGTCCATAGCCACTGCTGGTGGCAGCAGGGTCCCAGCTCTGCAGCAGACTTGCCACCCCCATTGGCACACTGCCTCCTGCTGAGCACCGTCCCTCATCCGCTGCAGGGCCAGGCTGCCAGGCAGTGTCCTCACCCCCCGCTGCTGTTTGAAAGTACCTCCCTGGAGGGTGGGCCTTGACTGAGCCAAGCAGGAAAGGAATCCTCTCTCTTCCTTCCCTGTCCCCCGAAACAATCAATTGGTGTACCTGCCCCGGCTTGGAAATCTCCCTGGCGATGTGAACTGTGGTTCCTCCCCATCCCAGCTGGCGGCAGAAGGGAAGCGCGATGCACTTTAAAGGGGGAATTTCTACCCCGCCTTGGAAGGTCCTGCTCTTCTCTCTTCCCTCCTGCACGAGGTCTTGGTGGCACCGAAAAAGCTCTCACTCCTGTGTGTTGCCAGGTGTTGGGGGAAAGGCCTGACCCCAAATGCCCCTCGCCAGCACAAGGAGTCCCTCCTCCCTGCTTGGCTATGCCTGGACCGGGCAGGCAGAGGAGGACCGGCAGCAGGCACAGCTTTAAAGTGGGTCAGAGCCTGCTCCCCACAGCAGCCGGCTCGGCTTTCCTCCTCTTTCGTCCCAGAACTTATTTACTTTCTAAGCACTTCAGACGTTTGCTACCTCGATTTTTAATTTAAGCTGCTGGCACTTGGCTGCCAGCCCCGTCAGTGTCTACGTTGGATGTATCCATCGCCGCGTCCGTTGAGAGCCGCCCGGGCGTGGGGCCACATTCCCGGCTTCGGGGAGATAACGGCGGCGTGGCTGTTGCCGTCTTCCTGTCACCACCTCTTCCCTTCACGTCCCTCCACCCGCTGTTCCCATCGGCAGGAGCGAGCACGCAGGGTGAAGTGGATGTGCTGGCTGCCACCAAGCAGGAAAGTGGGAGGGCAGGGCTTGTCTACACTGTGATGCTGGGCACTTCTCTCGACATCTTTTGTTCTGCTTGCTTGAAAGAGTCTTGTCTTAAAACAATCCCCCACTGAAGTGTTTCTTATTCACACCACCTGCTCCTGAGTTTCTCCCAGGCTGGAGCTCCCTGGGCAGGGCATCCCCTCAGGCTCTGCAGGAGAGCAGGAGCTGCTGTCCCCAGGAAGAGGAGAGAAAACCACGCACTGTCTGTGCCGCCTTGCCCCGCTGCTCTCTGAGGGCACAGGAAGCTGCACTTAACCCGCTATGGGTACTGGGAAGGCGAAGGAGGAGTGGGGAGAGGGTCAGTGCTGTTTGCCTGTCCCAGTGGGGAACCCCTCACAGGGCTGTCAGCTGAAAATCTGCTGGCAAGGCAGGGTTGAACACCAGGGGAGGGGGCAGAGACTAAGACTGGCTTAGCAAGGATGCTTTTGTCCTTCCTGACAGGCTGCCCACCCTTCCCCCAGGGCATTAAACATGCTTCCCCAAAAAAACAGGCCTTCTCCCACCCCTCTACCCCTCTAGTGTCATGGGAGTGGCAGCGAACCTCTGCAGGCTGCCAACAAACTGCATCCTGCCCTGTTTCTTCCCAGGCTGGTCGCCACAGCAGCCAGCCCCCAGGCCCCTCCAGCCTTCCTGCAGCAGCAGGGCCTTGGGAGCACCTGGAGGGGTCTTAAAAATGTGAAGGTCACTGTAAATAGTATTTGTGTCCACTGTGGTGTTGGAGCAAGCAAAAAAAAAAAAGGAAAGTTTTCCTTTTGATTCTTTTTTTTTTTTTTAATGATTTCTGTGTGATGTTGTGCTTTCCTGTGTGGATGTGTAGCCGTACTCACTGACACTAGGCTCCTTGCTCCTCTAGCGTGTGGGTAGGACCCATGGGTTTGGGAAATGTACACTATTTACGGTCCTTCCTCCCAGTGCATCTGTCCACTTTTGTTAAATTTCAATAAAATTATTTGTAGAGCCTGCAAGTCCAAGAGCTGTCTTACTGGGGAGGGTGGCTGTGCCTGAGGGGAGTAGGGTTTTGCCACCAGCATTTCGAGCCCCCTGTTTTTGCAGGAGGGGGATGTTTGTGCATATGTGGCTGAACTGGTGGTGAAGAACCCATGGGTCACAGCCATTTCCAGGTGCTCCAGTTGGCACATGGCACTGGCAGGAGTTGGTGTCTTTGTCAGGCTGTGACTTTAATTGTAGCTGCCATAACATCCTTTAAATATATAACAAAGTGTAATCTTTGTAATTTCCTTGTTCAGCCTCGAGGGTTGGAGCTCAGGACCCTCTTTCCTGGGGAGGGAGGTCTGGAGATTTGAAGGCAGCCCAGCCTCAGGCTACTCTTGCCGTGGCACTGCCTGAACCTCGCGGGGGGTGGAGGATCCGCCTGTCCGCTCCTTCCTCGCCTGTCCTGCCAAATCAGTGTCTCATTAATCACGGGGGCCTGACGACTTCCAGGCCCTGTGCCGGGAAGCCTCTCATCCCCCGAGCGCTGCCGGCTGTCCGTGGGACGAGTGTGATCTCACTTTGTACCCCATATCCTGTCCCTGACAGCCCCACAAATGTTTTCCTGTGGCCACCGTCACCTCTCATCATTTCCTCTGCACAAGCTGGCTCGGAAATGAGCCGCTGACAAGAGCTGCAGTGAGTGAGTGGTCAGCTTGTCCTGCCACTGCTCTGGCTGGAGGGGGGCGAGGCTGCGCAACTTTAGCCTGTTGATCCATAGCAGTCCAGGAGAGATGGATGGATCATGGTGGCTTTGAAGGGTGTGATGGATCATGGTGGCTGTGCAGGGAGTTAAAGCTCGGTGAGGTTTCTCAAGGCACTGGCTGTGGATCTCTGGTTTTGTGAGCATCTCCGTGTCTGGCGGGCCAGCCCAGTGCCCTCCTGCTGCCCATGGGGCAGGGCCATGCCTGGAGCCCCCAGCCCAAGGGTGGAGGCAGGTGCCGACATCCCCTCCTGGCTTCCTGGCTGCTCCATCCCCAAGCTGAGCTCCTTATGCACCTTGCCTGGACCTGTCTGGTGTGACTCATGGATGTGACTCACATCCCGTCCCGTTATCTTTATCTGCACCCATGAGGGATTCCCATCCTCCCAGCTGCCTGCAAGGAGCAGCTCGCCTGCTCGGCTCACCCTGGGCACTGCCCACCGCTGCCGCCCTGCACCCTTCTCCTCTCTTGTGCCCATCTGGGAATGACTTAAAATGATCTCATGCTCAGCAGGGTGGATCTGTCCAGCTGCCCCCTCCCAAAATCTAGAGTCTTCTGGAAGCAAGGAGGGAAACCGAGTCAGGCGGTGCGGAGTCCCACTGAGGGGACAACAGTGAGAAACTGCGTCACATTGAGGACTTCCAGCAGTGGAAAGCTGTGACCCCTCTGGCCACCCCGCTGCCGGGGGGGCCGGGTACCTTTGCATGAGGAGGATGGAAAATTTTAGGCGTTTCTGCTGCTGGCGAAGGGAGCCTGTTTACTGCCCAGAGGGGAAGGGCAGCGCCTGCAGCGCTGGGACTGCTTGGCTCCCCACAACCTCTCCCAAGTGTTTTGGCAGCCAACGGGCAGCGGCTGACCTTCCCTGCCCCTCTCCCAGCCAGTGGCTGGTGTTGGCCGCAGGCTGGGCCGAGCGGTGGCATACAGCCTGGACTCAGAGTGGCCGGCCTGGACGCAGTGCCCATCCCTGGCAGTACTGTCACCCTCTCGGTGGGAGCTTCACCACAAAAGCTGGCACCCGAGTGGTGTCACTAACTGGAGCCATCTGCGGGTGCCTGAGGGCTCGGCACTGGCGGCACCAGGGGCTGACACCGAACAATGCTGGGCTTGGAGCTCCCGCCCGATCCCTGAGGAGCTGGCGGGCGGCTGGGGAATGTTTCCGTAGATTCAGCCCCGTTTCCTTCCCCTGTCAACCCCGGCACACCCTCGCTCTCCAGTGCTTCCTCTGCGGGGCACCCCGATGGCCCCCAGCCTGCCGGGGCCAGCCCTGGCCAGAGCAAGCACAGGACAGGCAGGACACAGGGATTGCCACATGGCTGGTCCCTGAGCCCTGCCTGTCCCGCTGCCCGTCTGGGGGGACCTTCTGGAGCCTCAGCAGTGCCCTGGGAAGGAAGGTCTCCCAGCTCTGCTGCTCTCATGGCCCCCTTTGTCCCCTCTGGGCAGGAAACCCACGGGGTCGTGGCTGAGTCAGCAGCACCGATTGCCCCAGCCCTGAACAGGATGTCCTGTGCAGCACGGCACCACCCCGGGGTCACCACTGTCCTGGGGACACTGCTGCTGTGGGCACACCACTGCTCTGGGGACACCACTGTTGTGGGGACACTGCTGCCTTGGGGACACCACTATTCTGAGGTCACCACTGCCTTGGGGACACCAGCATTCTGGGGTTGCTACCACTTTCTGGAGTCACCACCATCCTAAGATCACCACCATTTTGGGGACATGATCCCGCTACAGCATCCTGGTGTCACCGCCATTCTGGAGTCAGCATTTTGGGGTGATGTTGATCCTGGGAACACCACCACCCTGAGGTCACCACCGTTCTGGGGTCACCACTGTTTTGGGGACATCATGATCCTGCGGTCATCACCACCGTGGGACCACCACAGTCCTGGTGTTACCACCGTCCTGGAGTGACCGATTCTGAGGTTACGACCGCCCTGGGGACACAATGCTGGGGGTATCACAGTCGCTGTTCTGGGGTCATCACAGACGGGGGTTCACTTCTGTTTTGGGGTTTCGGGGTCACCCCAGCGCTGCGTTTTGGGATCCCCTCACGTCCGCCCCGCGCCCTGCAGCGCCCCCTACCGGCCCCCGCCGCGGCCCCGCCCGCCCTTCCGCCGCGTGGGGGCGGGTCCTCCCAGGCCATACCAAGCGCGTCGGGACCGCGGGGGGTGGCTCCCAGTTGCCCGGTGCGGCGGTCCCGCCGAGGTGTGTGTGTGCGGCGCGGGCTCCGCCGCCGGCCCGCGGCCCCAGGGCCCCGCGACAGTCGACGCCGCCAGCCCGGCGCGGCGCGGGAGAGGGCGAGAGGCGAGGCCGGCGGGCGGAGGGCGGCGCCCCCGCGGGTGGTGCGCGCCGGGAGGTTTAAAAGCGGCGGCGGGGGGAGGCGGCGGCGCTGGAGCCCGCGGCGGGGAATGGCCTGAGGCGCGGGGAGAGCCGCGCGGGGAGCGAGCGGGGCCGCGGGGGGCCGCGCCCCGGCGCTTTGTCTGCCGGCCGCGAACAAAGGCGGCACCGCGCCGGCACCCGCGGGAGCGCCGGGAAGCGGGAACGGGAGACGGAGCGAGCGAAGCCGCTTGGAACCGGGATTCCTGGGAGCCAGCACCCCCCCGGGGGGCTCAGCTCACCTCTCTGCCGCGGGAGGGGCCTTGGGTCGGGGTCTGCCTTGGGGGGTGCGGGCAGAGCCGCCCCTGCCTGCACCCCCGCCTGCCTGCCCCGCTCCTGACCCCCCGTCTCCCGCCGCCCCCAGGCCCCGCCGGGCAGGATGCGCGGGGGCTGCGCGGCGGCGGCGGTGCCCTGGCTGGCCCTGCTGGCCCTGGCCCGGCAGCCTCCCGAGAAGCCGTCGGCCTCCCCCCATGTCACCCGCCGCCCCTTCCTGGTGGCCTGGAACGTGCCCACCCAGGACTGCAAGCCCCGCTTCCAGGTGGAGTTTGACTTCAGCATCTTCGATCTGGACGCCTCCCCCAACGAAGGCTTCGTGCGGCAGGACCTCACCATCTTCTACAAGGAGCGCCTGGGGCTCTACCCCTACTACACTCGCCAGGGTGTGCCCGTCAATGGCGGTGTCCCCCAAAACAGCAACCTGTTGGAGCACCTGGAACGCCTTAAGGACGGCATCACCAAGTACATCCAGTCGCCCACCAGGGAAGGGCTGGCCGTCATTGACTGGGAGGAGTGGCGGCCTGTCTGGGCTCGCAACTGGAAGCCCAAGGACATCTACCGGGACGTGTCACAGAGTCTGGTGCTCGAGCGTAACCGAAACTGGACCCGTGAGATGGTGAACAAGCAGGCAGTGTTCGAGTTTGAGTCAGCTGCCCAGGAGTTCATGGTGAGGACCCTGCGCAAGGCCAAGAGCATCCGACCGAAGCAGCTCTGGGGGTTCTACCTGTTCCCTGATTGCTACAACCACGACTACAGCAAGAACAAGGAAAGCTACACCGGGCAGTGCCCAGATGTGGAGAAGACCCGCAATGACCAGCTGGTGTGGCTCTGGAAGGAGAGCACAGCGCTCTACCCCTCCATCTACCTCGACCCGCTCCTGGACTCCACTCCCAATATCCGCAAGTTCGTGCGGGCACGGGTGATGGAGGCCATACGCATCTCCCAGCAGCACCATGACAACTACTCCCTGCCTGTCTTTGTCTACACCCGGCCCACCTACATCCGCAAGCTGAATGTGCTCAGCCAGGTAGGGCTGCACTACAGGGACGTCCTTATCCCAAGCCCTAGGCATCTGGACTTCGGGGTCAGCTGAGGTGGTTCTGCTGCCAGTGATCCATCTTGCTCCCCTGGAGCAGAGTGGCTCTGGTGACTGGTGTCTGCCCTCATGGTCCAACCGTGGCTGTCTCTGTGTGGGGTGGGGAGCAGCACCCTTTGGCACGTGGCTGGCCCCAGGGAGCCCGAGGGGTGCTCAGCTCTGCTTCCTTCCCTTCAAGGGGAATGGGAGACCCCCCCCAGCTCAGCCCCTCTGTGACTGGATGATAGGATGCCACAAACTGCTTCCCTTAGGTATGGGTTGTCTGTCAGCAGAACTGGCACCAATGGTCACCACTGCCAGGGAAGTGCCTGGGAGATACTGTAAGACTGACAGGTCCTGACAGCCAGGACCCTGGGGTATGTGAGCCCACAGCCCCTGTGCTGTGCTGGCTTAACCCCTGATGAGGAGGGCAGTGTTGGGAAGTCTTGTCCCCCAGGATCTGGGACAGTCCCTTCTCCCTGTGGCTCAAAGCCTCCCCGGCCCTGCAGTGGACACTTTGGAGCACACTGTGCTGGGAGTGTGGGTGCTGTGTGGGGTCTGTGGGCACTAACCAGGCTCTGTCCCCACAGCTGGATCTGATCTCCACCGTCGGAGAGAGCGCAGCACTGGGTGCAGCTGGGGCCATTTTCTGGGGTGAGGCGGATGATGCCAAAAACCGGGTAGGTTTGGGGTCTTGCATGGGAGGTGGGTGGATGATGGGTGAAAGGCTCACCTGCCCCCAGAGGAGGAGGACCAGTGGCTGAGCTGTCCTCTCTGTCTGAGATGCTTCTCTCTCTGTCACACCAACATGCCCCTGGTGCTCCCTTTCTCCTAGGAGTTGTGTCAGACTTTGAAGAACTACCTGGAGGGGGACCTGGGGCGCTACATCGTGAATGTCTCGACAGCAGCAGAGCTCTGCAGCAAAACACTGTGCCAGGGCCAGGGGCGCTGCCTGCGCCAGGACAGCACTGCCGACGTCTTCCTCCACCTCAACTCCACCAACTTCCAGCTGCGGCGCCGGGATGCAGACCACCCGAAGCACCCCCTCTTCTGGGTTGAGGGCCAGCTGTCCCCTGCTGATATCCTCTTCCTACGGACCCACTTTCACTGCCACTGCTACCAGGGCTGGCAGGGCAGTAGCTGTCAGACACCCACTGGCCTCAGCAATGGTGCCCCTGGGCTCCTGGCACCACTAGGACTTGGGGTGCTGTTGCTGCTTGCAAGCTGGTGCTGACCCCACGCTGGACTGAGGTGCCCCTTTCTGTGGTGTAGGGGCCTATTTAAGATTATCACTACCCTGCCTAGGAGGCAGCTTGTTATGGGGGGCTGCCCCTCACTGTGAGGGGCAGAGCTGTTTTGCCCCATCTCTGCCCTCCCTGCTGCAGTGGGGATGGAGGGAGGAGGGGGACCCCTCTCCTGTTGTAAGGAGAGGGATGGGGGCAAGTGGGACATGGGGGCGGGGAGTGGGTTCTGTGTGGTGCTGAGCCCCTGTGTGCTGCCCCACACTCAAGTGCTTTACCTCGAATAAAGCTGGTCAGAGGGAGAGGTGTGGGCTAATTTGGGGCAGAGGGGGAGGCCACGGGTCACCCAACTCCCAGACATTGCCACTGTGGGGTGGGAGCACTGGGCGGCGGGTGTGAAGCTCGGGAGAGGCACAGCAGGGATGGGATCTCTCCCCATGGGGCCAGAGCCGCTCGGGTAAAGCCCTCTGAGGGTGGGAGCTCCCAGCATGAAGCCGGAGCGGCGTGGGTAGCCACGGTCGGGCCACCCACGTGGAGCCGCGCTCGCCACGCCCCGCCCGGGCTCCTCCCCCTGCTCTCCGTGGCCCTGGCTCCGCTCCGGGATTCCCCGCCTGGCCACACCCTCAATCCCGGGACAAACCCCTTGGGCGCGGCCGGTGCTGGGGCTGCGCGACGGGAACGCTTCGGGGGACCGGGATCCTCGTGGGGACACCCCTGTACCCCGAGTGTCGCTGAGCTCCGCTGTCCCCTGCCAGCTGAGTGTCCCCCAGCGGTGCCCTCGCGTGTTTCCTGTGTCCCCGTGGCACAGCGTGCCCGGCGCAGCCCTGCTCTGCCTGTGCCCGTGCAGCCCCTCCGGGCACTGCTCTGTTCTTTGCGGTGCCCGTGGGCACGGCACGGCCCCGCGTGGCACAACCGCCTTCCTGCCCGCACCCCTGGGCTGCTGTGCCTCTTTCCCGGGCCGTGCCCTCCTGTGGCTGCTGCCCTGTGCTGTGAGTGTCCCCGGGCCGTGCCCTCCTGCGCCACGTCGGGCTCTGTCCTGCTGGATCCTGCTCGATGCCGTGAGCTTCTTCCCAGCAGTGCCCTCCTCCTGCCAGCTCATGGCCATCGCTCTCCTCTTCCCCAGCGGCGCCTGCCAGGCTCAGCCCACGTCCATCGCCGTGACCTTCCTTCCTCCCCACCACCCCCCCTCCGCGTCCGTGTCTGTTTGTCTTTCCAGCCCACTCATCACCGGCCAGTCATGGGGTGTTGACTCTGCGCATTCCTTTCCAGCCGAGCCCGCCGCCGCCGGTCATTAAACGGGGCTGACACACGCTGCTGTCCCCACTCCGGGGCCACTGTGCTGGGCTCCAGCTGCTGATAACTTCAGGGACTTTGAGACTGAGGGACAGGTGACCCTGGGTGACTGGCACCGCTTGGGAACAGAGGAGTGGATTAACGCCAGTCCCCAGGCAGTTCCAGGATCCACCCTAATCCCACCAGCACCATGGCACTGGTGTGGTCCTGCTGGGTCCTCCTGCTGCTCCTGCCTGCCCTGGCCCACACTGGGGGGCCTGGCCCTGTCCTCATCAACCGCCCCTTCGTCACCATCTGGAACATCCCCACGGAACACTGTGCCGAGCAGTACAATGTCACCCTCAACCTGGAGGTCTTCGATGTGTTGGCCAACGACCAGCAGTCCTTCATCGGGCAGGACATCACCCTCTTCTACAGCGACAGGCTGGGTCTCCTCCCCTACTACACATCTGAGGGGGTGCCAGTGAATGGGGGGCTCCCCCAAAATGCCAGCCTGGAGGCTCACCTCCAGCAGGCCACCCAGGACATCAACGTGACCGTGCCCAGCCCTACCTACAGTGGGCTGGCTGTCATCGACTGGGAGAAGTGGCGCCCGCTGTGGATCCGCAACTGGGGCTCCATGAAGATCTACCAGGAGAAGTCGGAGGAGCTGGTGCAGCAGCAGCACCCGCAGTGGTCACCTGAGGAGGTGGAGGAGATGGCCAAGCAGCAGTTTGAGGAGAGCACCTGCAATTTCATGAACAAGACCCTGTGGCTGGGCGAGAGCCTCCGTTCCGATGCCTACTGGGGTTTCTATGGTTTCCCCGACTGCTACAACAATCAGTTTGACAGCCTCTACAATGGGACGTGCCCAGAGGTGGAGCAGCAGAGGAACAGGAATCTGTCCTGGCTCTGGAAGAGCAGCCGGGCACTCTATCCCAGTATCTACCTGCCCCTCTCCCTCAATGGCACTGACAAGGTGCTCCCCTACGTCCGGCACCGCGTGGCTGAGGCATTTGCCGTCCAGCGTGGCGTCCTTGACAGTGGCATTCCTGTCCTGCCCTACTCCCAGATTGCCTTTGAGCTCACTGTTGACTTCCTTTCCCAGGTGATGGGGATGTGGGGATACTGGACACCTCTTGGGCGGATGGGTTGGCACCGGGAGTCTTTAGCTCTGCTGGGGCTGTGCAGGGGCTCTGGACACCACTGACTTCTCCTCTCCCCTTGGGTGCAGGAGGACTTGATGAACACTATTGGGGAGAGCGCAGCTCAGGGTGCTGCTGGCATCATCCTCTGGGGCAACCTCGACTACAGCGCCTCCAAGGTGAGTGCAGAGGGTGGCACCACGTCCCTGCCACCAGGGACCCCCAGTTCCTCAGCTGTGCAGGGCTGTGACATCACATGCCATTGCAGGAGATGTGCCTGAGACTGAAGGACTACGTGGAGGGGCCCCTGGGCCACTACATCGTCAATGTGACAGCCAGCGCTGATCTGTGCAGCCAGAGCCTGTGCTCTGGCCATGGGCGCTGTGTGCGCCAGGAGAACAAGCAGGGCTTCCTCCACCTCGACCCCTTCCGCTTCACCATCGACCTGCACGCTGGCAAGCCCTGGCTGTTGTCTCAGAGCCTGGAGTCTGGTGATGTCTCCCAGCTGGAAAAGGAGTTCAGCTGCCAGTGCTACGACGAGTGGCAGGGACCCCACTGTGACACCCAGGGCTTCTCCAAGTGACACACCCCAGGAACAGCAGGTTTGATAGGGTGACCCTACCTTGTGCCCCAGCACTGTCACCGTGGGGTTGGGAACCTGGCTGTGGGACTGTTAATAAAACCAGAAAGCACTCACAAGCATCTCCTTGTCTTCTGCTGCAGCCTGTTTAGGGGTAGGAGGGTCTCCCAGCAACACCAGTGGTGCCTCGTGATGCTGCCAAGGGCTGCACTTTGGGATGGGGATTTGAGGGTGTAATGCCTCAGAGAAACTACAAAAAAAAAAAAAAAGAAGAAAATTTATGGCAAAAGACATAAGAAAGGAGATGACAGGGCAGGAGGATGAGAAATGGGGAGTGGTCAGAGAGTGGAGGTGATGGGAGTGAAAAGATGTTCCTGTGTGGCTATAGCTGGGGAGTGCATTCTCTAATCCCTCATCGGGCACAGAGGAGTGGAGTGCAACCACTGCCCCCCCTTTGATTTTCCCCTGGATTACCATATGCAAAACAGTTCAGCCCTCAAATGATATGCAAACCCACCCATTTCTGTAACCCAGGCCACTGAGTCAGCCATACCTATTTTAGAGCAGTTGGGAGAAGGCATGAAACACCGATTCCCCAGTCCAGCTGAGATAAAGATGTTGGCATCTCCATCTGGATGTTCAGCTTGGGGTGGGGGAATCACATACTCAGTTCTCTGTTCTTAGGCCCTAATTCAGGTAAACTCTTTCCATGTTGTGACTGTTCTGAATAGCACTCTGTGTTTACTGTTTCCAAACATACATTTTCAAAATGCTCTATCCAGGGCACAAATTTCTTTCAAAAAGCAGTTACTAACACCAATGTCCTATCTAGAAGAACTTGGGTTGTGAACACGCCCATCACTCATATGGACCTGACAATGATAACCAATGATTTCTGCAGACTTACTACAGGCAACCTGTTAATTTCTTATTATTACCTTGAGGAGTATCTGAGAATATACCACTGGAGACATAATTAGACCTTTGGATTCCGCAGTCACATCTTTCAGAAACACACACTGGGTTATTGCCAAGCTCTTTGCCAAGCTGGGGGCCCCTGAAAAAAATTAGTCATAATTGGATTTTGGCCAAGAATTAATTGTTTTATCTAATTCTTATAGAGATAGCTTGGTAAATGTTGGGTGTAAATGTTGGAAACAATATTATCTTAGTTTTTTTTTTTGGAATGTGATTTAACTTAATGAACACTCAAACACACTCCTCCCAAGTTACAGGGAATCTGATATTTGCCCTCTATTAAATGCTGAAATTGAAAGCAAAGTTCACCTTGCTATTCACACAGAGAAAATTACCATAATTTTCAAGTCCTCGTTATGCCTGGAAGGGATCGGAGCTGTGTGCCTGTAACTTCAAGCAATTTAATATGTTTTAAGTGTTCAGGTACTGAATATTTGGTGCATACTTTGGGGCTGGTTTGGGGTTCTCCTGGGCACAGGATTACCTCATTTCATTAACTGAGCAAAGCATTGAGGTGGGCATGAGGAAGGAGACGTTTCAGAAGCCACAGGAGCCCTGCAGAAACCCTGTCTCTAGGTGGGGGTTTGCATCTTGCCTTAAAGAAAAGCGAGGCAGGAAACTCGGGCCAGCTCTTTCTCTTTGCTGTTTAAATAATGCAAGCCTGGGCATGAATGCAGTTTGTCGTTTTCAAATAATAGTTTTAAATGTGTAAGAGGATTTGTTCTATTCATCCTGCTTATTGTAGCTATTCCTCTGTCCTTGCCTCTTACAGCATATCTAAAGACACCCGAGACACTGGATTTCGTGTAATCTAGCTTGTCTTGCTCCAGACTCCGAGGAATAGAGACTAGAAAGACACTGCACATGGTGCCAGCAGGCAACTTAGAAGCATTGAACATCTGCTGGGTTGTTTTTTTTCCAGGTCTGAGAGCCTCACTATGCCTTGTACACGTGTAGTGCTCTGCAAATCCACGGCAGCGCCGGAGCGAGCCCACGCTCGACAGGAGTGTGCTGGAGGGGAGCCAGCAGCAATCCACAGGCCTTTGTGTGGTTCACATTTCTGGCTGCTCCACATCTCTCGGGTGGGATATGCTTATGGTGCTGTCATGGCAGCTCCTGTTTTCTGTGCTCAGGATGAGTGAGAAACCTGTTGTGTGCAGAGCTTGCTCATCCACTCTCTTACAGGGTTCACACTAAATTGATTTCTAGGCTTTTTCCATGTGCTGCTTCAAAAACTAAGGGAAGTCTGTCACTTAAAAACTGTCCTTACATTGCCTAGTTTTTCATTTCAACGACTGATTACTTTTTTGTCTAGGTTGCTTAAGCCACGTATCTCCAGAAATAATTTATCCAAAGTACTTATCGTGGTTTACTATCCCAAACAGAGAGAATTGAACTGCTGATTGCTCTGAAGGATTATTTTACTATCTAGAATGAAGATGCTCATAATAAGAAGCCTTTAAATGCTTTGAGATGACTAGGACATAACCTACACCTTACCCTTTAGCTAAAGCACTTTAAGTCTTGCATAAAACAGATGAAAGAAAGCTCTCCCAAGACATCCACAGGCTTTTCAGATACAAGCAGGAAATTAGAGGCCTGTTAATAAGCTAACAAGAAAAGTTCTCATCTGCCTTGTTCCTTGACTAAAAACCTCAAAATCAATAGAGACAGAAAAATTTTCCATGTTGGTAGAAGTTGGTTTAGTCAGACACTAAGGTATTGTTTACAATTTTGTCTTGCATTAACAGCCCACACCTTTGGTTAAATAACCAAGGGGGTGACCATATTTTGAGACCTCAGGAGTTGCTTTAGGACCCCAGTAGTTATAATTTGCTGTTGCACTTAATTTCATCCAAAGCTTTGGACAGATGCCATAAACCAGGTACGTGCCAATAGCGTTGAGGGTGTGCATAAGGCTTCACTGCTTTCCTGTTAACACTTTAACTAAAGCCTGCCACTTTTTTCCCACATGCAATGTCAAAGCTCTCTTCTGATTACTGTTTTAAAAGTGAAATGTTCACCTCTTACAGAAATAATTTCCAGAGCTTGAATGTAAGACCCTGTATCCCAAACCCCCCTCAAAGTGCCAGCTTTGCTCCCTCAGAGCAGCACTGACAAAACACAAGACTTTTGAGCTACCAGTTACCTAAAATGAAAGTGGATCTTTCTTACAGTCTCTTTGTATTTGTGTTTTGTGTTTGAAAATTACCCACTCCTTACCTTTCCCCTTGCTTGGGTATTTCTAGAAAAGATCTGAAAAGATCTAAAAAAACCCCAGATTTCAGAAAGATCTAAGGTGTTCTTCAGAGGCTGTTGCCCTGGAGTTGACATTCCTCATTTCCGAGCACTAGCAGGGATATCAGCCTTCGTTCCTCTGATTCAACAGATTGCAATTTCACAAGTTCCTTGGAGAAGAAATGTAAGCCCTGGAGCATGGGTTGTGGGCCCTCAGCAGGTGTTTAAACATTCAGCACAAACAGCAGACCTTGCTTTAGATTATATAAACAAAAATGCGTTTAGGAACTTGTCCTACTTTGTTGAATAATTTTTTTTGATCTGCCACTGCTGGGGCTGGGCACCAGAACAGGACTTCCACCACAAAAATGTAGGCGCAGCAGCAGCAGCAGCTCCTTTGTTGCGAGTGCTTCAGGCCTGCCAGAGGCAGGGCTGGTATGTGGGGTGCAAGGGCTTCCACGTTTTCTGTCCAGGAAATGTGTAGTTTGTGTTTTTCATTGCTGTGGGGACAGCCAGGGCAGAACACTCATGCTACTTGCAACGTCTCTGCTGCTCTGATTTGGCACTAACTCCTCTCCTAGTTATTTTCCACTCTGGGGTTTTAAAAACAGGGTAATCAGTGTCCAGTGCTGGCATTAGTAAGTCAGCAGGAGTCTTATCAACAGCCCAAGGAGGGTCAGAGTAAGACCTTGTGAGCGATTTCAGTGAAGCCATTCACTGGCGCTTTATGAAACACCGTGCAAACTCATTTTCTTCCAGTGACAGGCTAAGCACAAAACCACACAGTGCTCCAAACCCTGCTCTAATCTGCTGGTGCAGACTTAAAGCAAATGCCAAATAGTATAGCAAAACATTTTATGTGAACTGTCCCGCATTTGGTTGCAACTTCTCAGGAGGAAAAACGTGCTTTGACGGGTTACTGGTGCTATTTCCTAATTAAGACACAAATAGTTGTAATCCTCTGGGAGGAGTTTGAGGTTAGTTTCAGCAAAACCAGACCAAGCTGGAACTGAAGCAGGGGGGAAAAAACCCCAAAACTTGGAGACCGAACCTGCTCTCCGTGCAAAGCATGTATTCTTAATTATCTTATTTGTTTTAATACACACCAGCTGATACCTGCATGCAGCAGATACCAGCTGAGATAACAGGGAGCTCAGTATTTAAGGCCTGGCTTTCCTCACCATAGCAACAAATGTGTAAAGAGAGTAAGAGAACACAGATAACTTGCAGCATCCAGCACAGCAAGGGCAGTGTTGGTGGAAGACTGACTTCTACCAGGATATTTTATATACTGTCATGGTGCATGATGCAGAACCACAGTGGATGTCTGAACAGAGGAATCCGATGTACCCTGGGGAGTGTGTGTTGTGCAAAGCTTCAGCAGACTATAAACAGAGGTAGGTGTTTGCTTCCTTGACTTCAAGGCAGCTGGGAAAAGGGGTGGTCTGTGTTTAATCTTATTCTCCTTTTATAAAACAGTGGAGGTGGTGACTCTTGAATGTGGGTCTGCTCTCCTTGATTGCATGTACCATATCTTGGGGCACAAGTGACTCCTCATAAAACAGAAGAGCCTCCCAGAGGTACCCCTTTCACTGTGCATCTCTGCCACCCTATCAAAATTAGGTAGAACAGGTTTTCTGTCAGAAATCCATGCTGCATACTTACAAACACCTAGGTTGCTTTTTATTTCGTGGGTTATTTAGTTTGCTCTGACAATCTGCTTGTAGATTTTATTGAATCATTGATTACCTTCAAATTTAATGAAGTAATTTGAAAAGCTGTCATCAGTGCCCCATCAGTGTATGAAACCATGTGAGCCCAAGAGCTGCCACCAAAATCTATTCAGAGCTAATCTTCAGGATGTTGATCATGAAACCTTTTCTGTATCAGTTGTGGCTAGAAGGCATAGCATGAGTGCTAGTTTTCTGGTAGCTACCAAAAAAAAGCCTTACTTTTGTTTTCTAAACAAGAAGAAAGTTTTTCTGCCTATGCAGCTTTATCTAGAAATACCTACCAATAACCCAGAGTAAGGACATTCATCTTTAGAATGCCCTGGTCTGGGTTCTTGGTAGATAAATTGATGTCAGATGTAAAATACCAAGGCAGTTAATTGATGAGGAATCCCCAAGTGGGATAGAAGTAATACACATCAGAGTATTCATTTCTATTATGGTCCAAGAATGCCATTTATTTCTTCTACTACACAGACATTTGTGGAAAGAAATGCAACACCAATGCAAACAATTTGCCAAAAAATGTGCTTAATATAATATTTATATAATCTTCTTACATGCTGCCTGTTGTGAAAGGGAGCTGTGATTTAAGATACTTTTTTTTTCTTAGTCAAAGGTTATGGAAAATCTCAGTTGTCTGGGATAAAGAAGCAGCGCTTGACTACAGCTGCACATACAAAAACGAGCAGCATAAAAATAGCCCAACAAACACTCCAGCAATGCACGTAACGAGATTCCCCTCTCCCAAAGGGCCTGAGAAAGGCCAGGCAAGCTCTTAGGGTCTGACCAGACTGGAGATGAGAATTCCCACTCACAAAGATAAGGTTTCCCAAACATCCGAAGTCTCCAATCTTGGGGTACCTTAACATGCTCCTATGCTTCAGGACAAGGATACACCTGATCTTTTAAGATCTTATAGTCTGGACAGAAAAAATAGCTCAGAGAAAAGAAAAACAAGGTACAGAAGAATAGTGACCACAAGGTGACTACATGAATAATTGTATTGTATTAACTTTTGCTTCACAGTTCACCCATTAGTTTCTGCTTTTTATCCTTCTCCTGCACACTTACAACTTGGGTAAAGATTGCAAAAATATCTTTAATAAAAACTTGTGTTATCTGGCTCAACTGATCACAGTGCAGCCCTGCATTTGCCCAATTTCAAGAAATTTTAAAAAGGACCCAACAGCTTAAACCTTCCAATGAAGCTGAGGAACTTGACCACAACCTAGCTAAAACAGTTACAAAAATCCAACAGATTTACTCATCTGTATATTAATTTCATCCAGAGGTAAAAATTGTTGGCTCACATTAACGCAGGATAAATTAACCTGTGAAAATAATAGTCAATAGGATTGGTGCCCCCAGGCAGTCCAGGCCTGCCACAGCCGAGTTCTTCTGATAAGCCTGATCAGATGCTTTTCCTTGCCAAGGAGCCAAAGGCAGGCTGTATTTTTGTGGCCTTTTCTTCAGTTCTTTGAAACAACAAAGCCACACTTAGAGCAAAAGATTTTCCAAGGTCTGTAAGTGTGGAAATGTTTCCTATTTAACTATTTTTGAGAAGGGCACAGGATTAAGTCAAACATTTTCTGACCGGATGACCCAGCTTGCTCAGTCTATCCGAGCAGAAGCTAGGATCAAACATCCCAGGCAGAAACTGTATTTACCTTGAATGTTCTTCTCTCCTGCTGAGTTCTCCTAAATGTAAACAATTTATCAGATTTTTTTTTCCCCTCATGAATCGGTTCCTAGTTCCACTTGCCAAATTACCTAGACCTCCCCAGTTTGGACAAAAATCTCAGCAACCTCATCAGTGGTTGGCTGCACGGAGTTTGAGCACGACCCAAGACTTCTAGCAATTCTTTCTATTAATACCTGTACTGGTATTCGCTTTTAAGAACACTTGAGTCCTCTGCACAGTCAGGACTCTGCAGTACAGCCCTTCTGGGAGCACAACAATGCCAAGGAAAGGCTAAGGTGTGCCTTCCCACACAAAAGGCTGCGGAGGAGGATAAACATGGTTATCCTCCAAGACAAAAACCACCAAAAGAAAACAGAAGCCTGTTTGATCCCCGCCGAGGCTCTGCCCACCAGCCCAGGCTGGGTTACAAGCAGCCTGCGCAACTGATACTCGGGACCTTTTGTTCTGCCAAGAGGAGTGGGAGCTTCTGGCTGATACTGAGCTACATCTCTCTGGCCAGCAGGAGAGGGGGGGGTCACTTTGAAGCTTTTTGCCAACACCAAGCAGTAAGGAATCCTTGTAGCTGGGTGGTTTTCTTACATTTTCTTCATTTTTAAGGCTGGGGACAGGAGGCTGAACTGCTGCAGTGGCCAGCCCCCTTGAGCTCCATTTCTGGCCCTGCCTGCTGCTTCACACCAGCTGCAAAAAAACTTTTTTTTTTTTATTTTTATTTTTACTTTTTTTAGGCGAGCATGGGGATAAGATTTCACTAAGCCCAGAAACCATGACTAAAAGATGTTTCAAGAGGAGAGCAAATGAGACCAAGGGCCTCTTCCCCTACCCCAGGGCACAGAATCGTAGGTTATTTATTTCAGAGAAATTCTCAAATGGCTCCAAGATGGAAGGAGTGAGACCAAAACCAGAGTTAACTCAATCAAATTCTGAGCTATGCCACCTGTGCCAGTGACAAATGCTCTGCTCCTGAACAGCACCAGGGACGTGGTGGTTATGCATACACGCCACATCATCCCCCTCCTCCACGCTGTTAACAGTGGACAGAAAAGGCCACAGTTACATAAAGTCAACTGAGCTTCTTAAGAAGATAAAGCAAATGAAGCATTAATACTTCAGATGAAATCATAGGGAGTTAATAAGGATTAAGTATTGTCCAGAAGGTGGACACAGATGACTTCCACCTCTGTGGAGCACTGTGGCACCTCGAGAAGCTGCTGAGCTCTAGGGGTTGCAAAAAGAGCTGCATCTTACTTTGATGGTTCCCCAAACAAAAGGAGGGTTGTCTGTAGGATTGCATCAATAGTGAAACATTTTTTTTTTCTCCCATGTTCACCCTTAGTTCCTAAGAAATCAGATTTCCAGGGGAGTGGTTACAACATAGGATTGGAGGAGTGGTAGGGGCTTGGTCTCTCAGCTCAGGGTAACTCAACCCTCACTCTGAGTCACTGCACATACACTTGAAGGAAGTGATACTGAGCATGGTACTGAACTCAGCTGCTGGGTTTCCTCATTGCAGGAGACATCACCAGCTGGAGATAAGCATGCAATACTCCCTGTTTAAAAAAAAAAAAAAAACCACAAAAAACAACAAACCACCCTTTCTTTCATGTGGCTTTATTTCTATAAGCAATTAAGAACTTGTACTTTGTTAACTAAAGTTTTAAAGCATCAGATGATCCCCAGGCAGAGCCAGCATAGCTACAATGCTTATGCAACCAGTGGGGGTCTGAAACCAGCTGCCCAGACAGCAAACTTAGACTTGATATCACTTGGAGACAGCTTGGGAAGCAGGGCCGAGATGCGTAGGTAGATGAAAAGACATCCTGCCAAGGTAAAGAAAATTTGCCTGTGAATTTTAAGCAAAACCAAAATCAAATGAAATCTCAACTCTGTTGCTTACGTCAACCATTTTCATCTTAAAGAGGAATTATTCTGATTTTTCACTACTAAGTGGCTTTAGACTGATGCTTCCTTAATTTTCTGTTTGACCTCCTTTCATCTGCAGTGGTGTTTCCTCTTCCCAAAACTTGTTTGCCTATCTCTGCAGGCCAAAGGCACAGAAAGACAGATAACTCCCTCCTGAGCACAGTGCTGCCTCTCCAGCTCCTTACCCCAGAGCAGGACATACAGTATGATGAGATAACAGCTCCAAAGCTTCTACAGACACCTGTTTGGTCATGCCTCCTTCAGATGGGCAGCCTAATGAAATTACAAAGCTGTTAGGAAAGGCAACCACAAAAATAACCTGTTCCAACCTGAACAAAATAACACACACACTTCAGTATCACCCAAGGCGGGTATAGGGAATTAAAGGATTGTTGACACCAAGCTCAGGCTGCCATCCCTGTCCTCAGGGATGCTGTACGGCAAAGACAGGGGAAAGCTGTGTCCCAAAACATGACGGTGGCTTTGCCTTGAGCACAGGTACAATCTGTAATTGCCCTGATTGGCTTCACCTGGGACCGCTTCGGCTCACTGGGACATGGATCCCAGCCCTGTCTTGTCTGCTCGCTGTGTCCCGGCCGGGTGAGTGTGCTCTGCTTGGGCCCTCTGGGTCAGCGCTGAGGTCACCTGTGGCTCTGTGGAGAAGCTGCACAGCTTCTCCCGAGCCTGGCTGGGGTGCTTGTTGCTGACCAAACACCCGAACACCCTGTTGATCCTTATCTTCTACCCTGCCGGCTGCACTCTGCAAAATGGCTACAGCCGCTCCACCTCCCCTGCTTACTTGGCTTTATTTATTTATTTATTTATTTTATTTGATTGTTTGCTTGTTTATACTGTTCGATCTAGCCGAACACAAAGCCCCGAGCAGAGACGGGAGGCACGGCTGCGGTCCCGGCAGCGGGAGCCGCCTCTCCGCGGAGCCGCGGGTGCGGTGCGGGCGCTCCCGCAGCCGGTCCCCGCGCGGAGGTGCGTGAACCTCTTCCCTGTGGACCCGTATTCCCGCATCCTCCCCGCTCCGCGGGCGGGAGCGGCGGGGCGGAGCGGAGCGGGGGTGCCCGGCGGGGCGGGGGCTGCCCGGGGCCGGTCCCGCCGCCCGCTCCGCTCCGCGCGGGGCGCGCACACCCGCGGGCAGCTCCGCGGGGCGCCGCGGGCACGACCCTCCGCCAGGACCCTCCGCCGGGCTCCCCTCGGCCGCGCTGGGCCCGTCCGTCCCACCCCACCCCAGCCCACCCTCCGCCGGAGCCGAGGCTGAGCCGCAGATGTGGGGCTGCCGCCGCCGCCGCTGCCCGCAGGGCCGGCGCTGCCGAGGTAGGACCCCCCGGGACCCTCTGCACGGAGCGGGGCTGGGCGCTTCTCCCCTTCCCACGCCCTGCCTTCCCACCCACCGGAGCCCGGCTTCCCACCCTGGCAGCCCCCAGACCCCGAGAGACCCACGCGCGTCGGGGCAAGACTGGAGGGGGAAGGTCGTGTTATCTTGGAACCCCCGGTCGGAATTTTTCCCTTCCAGCTCCGCCGGGGAGTGAGGGTGCCCGGCATCTCAGAAACTCGCGGGTTGGAAAACGGGATTTGCGGCTTCTTGCTGGAATAGCCCGAGGCGGAGGAAGGTTTGGGAGATGTGTCGTGGAAAGAGGGAATCGTAGTGTAGCAGTGGCTGTTTGCTTCCCGAGTTATTTTTGGAGATGGCTTTGCTGTGATGGATTTTTTTAACTGTCTGCGGGAAGGCGGGTTTACATCGTGCTCCTCCAAGCCTTGATGCCCTCCATTGGCTGAGGAAGGGTGTAAAACCAGTGCTTTGGCAAATAGTGATCCAACTGGTTACTGCTTCTTCCCTTAATCCTAAGGGCAACACCATAAAAACACGTAATCTGCATCTTTTTTATCTTGCTTTGTGAGATTTGGCTCCTGGCTCGTTGGGGCCTTCCTTGGAAAGGGCTGACTCTCCCTGGGGATTGAGGTCTGGCGTGTTTGTAAGGCACTTTGTGTAATATGGGATGACAGCTGTGACGCACGTGTACCCAAACTTTTGAACATGGGCTCTGTCGGGGTTATGATTGGGTGTTTTTTTCCCCACTTTGTAAGAAAATTGTATTACATAGCCTGGAAGGTAAACCTGGCACCTTGCTGAGCACTCCTGCTGCCTTGGGGCAGAACAGGGAGGCAAGAGGTAGAGGTGGCAGCAGGGGGGTATTGTACTCAGGTCTGTTAACGGGACTGGGGAGCCTTGGCCTGGCACCCTGAGCTTCCTGGCACCATAGAAAACTGGGTGTCACTGGGTGTAGAGTGGCTGTGGCTCCTGCCACGGTGAGTCAGAGGATGTCTCTTGTTTACAGCCATCACTTTGCTTCTGCTGCCCTTGTAGTAGTCAGTGCCTACTTTGTCCAAGCCTGACTCCAACCCAGGGCATGGAAATGGATTTCAGTGAGGTCGGTGGCTTCAAAACCCCTCAGACTAAGATGGAGGACTCTGATTCAGCTGTGGGAATGCAGTGATGGGCCATTGCTTACCTGTGACTGAACTAGAAACCCTGCACTGTCCCTTGGGTCATTTGCACAGTGCTTGCACTGGCATCTCCCATGAGCAGGGATTTGTTCACTGTGCCAGGGTAGCTGCTGAAATAGATCCTGCCCTCGTTCCTCCTTGTCAACACCTCATAGCCTGGCTCAGGGGACCTATGTAGCAGGTCCCATGGTGCTTGAGCGACTCTTTGGAGTGTGAGGAGGTAAAAAAAAAAAAAAGGTCTTAGTACTGAAGAAACTTGAAGACTCTTAAGGATTTTTAAAATATTTAAAGACATTAATTCTGAGTTAAATGTTTTATATTGACAAATGTCAAGAGAAACTAGTTCGTATGAGGCAAAAACACACTAAACTGAGTACAACTCAGAGTGATCACTTATGGGATCAATGGATTTTATAGTGCTCTGCAGAGAGCTGAAGATGGGACTGAATAAATACCCGTTGTGAGACTCCTGGTGCTCGTCCAATGTGTTGCGGAGCAGTTTGCGAAGTTTCCAGTAAGTTTGCTTAATGTAGCCTTACTCAGTTGTGAGGCACTCCCATAATTATGGCTGCAATTAAAAGCAATAACATCCATTTACATAAGATGCCAGTCCTTTTAAATCGGTGCATCATCTAATGAGAGCATTCGTGGAGGGATAGTTATGCAGGACGAGGACCCAAAGCTGAGAGCATTTTGGTGAGGATTTTGTTTCAGAACTTTTTTGAGGTCATTTAAAGGAAGGATCTGCTATGAAACAGGACATTTTGTTATGAAAATGCACTGATTCATGAATATAACTCTTACCAGTAGTAGGATGTTATTAAGTGATTGTAACACTTTATTTTTTTAATGTATCATCCGTCTAATTTTAAAAAAAAATCAACTTGGTTACACCAGTATTTTTCTCAATTTGATTGCGTCAATGTTCCGTCTGCTTTTATGAGTAAGAGATTTGGTAAATCCAACTTGTGGATGGTATTTAATTGCTGATGAAGCACGACGGATGTGTTCTGAATTGCTCACTGAACTTGCATGGTTTCCTTGGGGCTTAACCTCTGCGTGTGATGTCCACAGATTTTTCTTTGAGATAAATGGAAATATTAGACTTGAAGTGCTGGCAAACTTCATGTACCTGGGGAGAACTTCAGTTTTCTTCTGAAAGAAATGACCTCGTGGAGTATTCCCATCTTCCCACTCTATATGTTTTGGTTGGTTTCTTTTTTTTATTTGTTTGCTTTAATTTACTGAATGTGGTGTAAGCTTGTGTTCCCACACCCTGGGTGGGGCAGCTTCTTTGGAAGAGTCATAAGGCCAATGTAGTAGAAAGGGTCAAAATTCTCAAAATACAACTGAGGAAGCACCAGGCATGAGTCTGAGAAGTGCAGGGTTCCTTGGGTCTGCTCTGGTTTTCCCCAGAAGCCATTTTTTCCCATTTTAAGTGAAATAATTAGTCTGCTAACCTTTTCTCACAGGCACAGCACTTGGCTCGCGGTCTCTGAGACTGTAAGAGGTTAAGTAATTAAATTGTAGAAGGGAGTAAAAGAGAATAATGAACTCTAAACTCCCTAGTCTGCCTGATTGGGCTCTCCAACGGCTAAAATTAAGTAATTTAGGTCGATTCCTGATTTTTTTTTTTTTTTTTTTAGTTTTATCAGGTTCACAAAGTGAGGATGCAGGAGAGAGTCCCACAGGTTGTTATTTCCAGAGGTGGTGGGTTGACTTCAGGCATGATTTGGTCGTGCAGAGGGGCAGAGTCGGGGGGAGCGCTGGCCTGGAGCGCTCTGACAAGGTACCACGTGGGGCCAGGGTGGTTAATAACCAGGCCTGTTCTTGAGTGCCTGCCAAAACCTGGCCCTAAATATTGTAATCACACACTAATTATGAATACTAATCTCCAGACGTATTTAATGCATTACTGGGTACTGACCTTGTAGCTGTTGTGCGGTGCTGTGTGCACTGTGTTAAGTAAAATCATGGAATGGTTTGGGTTGGAAGGGACCTTAAAGATCACCTCTTTCCAAACCCCCCTGCCAGGGCAGGGATCCCTAGACCAGGTTACTCTGGGCCCCATCCAGCCTGGCCTTGAACACTTCCAGGGATGGGGCATCCACAGCTTCTCTGGGCAAGCTGTGCCAGGGACTCACAACCCTCACAGGGAAGAATTTATTCCTTATATCCCATCTAACCCTGCCCTCTGTCCGTTTAAAGCCATTCACCCTTGTCCTACCACTCCATGACCTTGTCAAAACTCCCTCTCCAGCTTTCTTGTAGCCCCTTTAGGCACTGGCAGGTGCCTCATGTCTCCCAGAGCCTTCTCCTCTCCACAGTCAGTAATGTTGTGAGTCTGTGAATTTGTGTCCATGCAAACAGAAGAAATAACTGGGAGTTTTGCATAAAATGTGTAAACTTACCTTTGCTGTGGTAACAGTGCAGTTGTAAGTGCCTTTAGGATTATGTTTTGACTATGTCAAGACTTATCCCTCATTTGAGAAGCTGGTGGCTGGGGGGTTCTTCTGGATGTTGATGTCTGTGACATCTAAGGATCTGAAGTAATGCACTGGAATTAATCCTGAAGCCTTTAAGCATGTAGCTGCCAGGAGTACAAATGATGAGTCCCTTAATTAGAACTGACTTTCATCCATGTGATGGATAAAAAGCATGTTTTGCAATGTTTTATTAATAAAGTGGGGTGGATTTGTCATGAGTGCCCTTGTGGAAATAATTTGCCTGTTACAGCCCTAAATTCTATGTATAATTTCAGCACTTGGATATTTGAAATACTTGTATGGCATTAGTTTCCAGATGATTCTATATGTTACTATCATGTTTACAGGCCATGCATGAGTAGAAGAAGGTAGGAAAGGGTAAAAAAAGAGGGTAAATAAAGGGGTTTTAAGTTCTTCCTTCTGATTTTGACTCTGAAGTTGAGCTGAAGTTGACCTAACTCATTCCTGAGTAGCTGATTTTTCAGATTTTCTTATATTTCTGCATGCTGTTCTGTCTTTGTCTGTGTTGAGCTGGCTTCACACATGTGCCTTGGCACCAGGAATTGCCAGGAGAGCTGTGTGATCCAGGCTCCCCGGCAGCTGTTCTGCTCCAAACAAGAGTTACAACACACCCCCGCCAGCCACGGATCTGTCGTGGGATTGGTACATGTCACCAGAGAGATACCTAAAAATGACTTAGACATGCTATTTCTGCCTTGCTTGGAAGAGCCACTTGTGGTGTTGCATGTTTGGAAGTGGATTCACACGTGAGTGATTTCTCCATGGGCAAACAGCAGCAGACTTTGTGAGCTTGGCTCAGTCTGTGCTGGCACAGCAGAGGCTCCGTTTGCTCCTGCATATGTTTTGGGTGCCTGAATAGGAAGGTTTCCCTAAGCAGCAAGAAATCCTCATGTCTGCATTGGGTACAGTTTGCCAGTGCATAGTTTAAGTCAAAGGATGCAAAGAACAAAATGTTTTTGATGATTTATTTATAGCTAAAAGCTTCTATGTGACTACATCCCTCCCCTCTTTTGACATAAGCTAATCAAGAAGCAGAACAAACATGAGCTGTTTTGATGCATCTGAAACTGCTTCTGACCAGTGATCACTGCCACAACAATATTTGGACTTAAGGCTGGCTGTTTCTTCCTTTCATGTTTTCTTTTATGGTGATACATCCCTGGAAATCTAATTGATGTCGGTTAATAACAAGCAACGTTTGTTGTTCGTGGGAACCATGTGGATATTCCTGAGCAGGGAGCTGTGCAGCATTTACCTTCTGCGTTAAGGGGTGGGAAATAAAAAGATCTTTGTAGGTTTTTTCTACGGTCAACGTAAAACTGGTTTACCCAAAACAATGAGGAGATTTCAAGGGTTCATGACCTCTTGCAATTAAAAAATGTCAGATGGTTTGTGAGAGGGGCGAAGGAGGAGGGGGAAGAGCCCTTGCTGTGGAGAAAGCAAGCAGCCCTGTTAGAGCTGAAGTAGTTTACTCATTTTTGGTAGGAGATCGATCTAGCAGCTTCTTTTTTACCCTGAAGACAGTGCTCCATTTGGGGGTTAGAATAGGGGAGCTTAAAAATCCAAGCAGTTCTGGACACGCTGTCTCCCACAGGTTTACATCTTGGGTTTGTAATTGATTTTTCTTCCCTGGGCTGGGCCAGTTC